CATCCACCCACCATCAGTGCAGAAGCCAAGGGGCGGGCCGGAGAAAGGAGATACACCCTCCTCCTCTCCCACCCTCCTCCTCTCCCTCCCCCTGGGCCTTGCCCAGGCCAGCCCCCTCCCCCATCTCCACGTCAGTCACTATTCCTTCCAAGCCGCCCCAGTGGAGAGCTTAGAGACAGCATTCACCCCAGCCTAGTCCCCTAGAGTCTCCAGAATCTATCCAATCACCCACATCCCCCAAGCTCCCTGTGGCTCAAACCCAAATTAGTTCAGTCCTTCAACATTTATTGTGCATCTACTGTGTGCCAAGCACACAAAAATCCCTTGTTTGGTATGTCTGACATGCTGGTGAGGGGTGGCAGAGAGGAAACAAGTTAAGTAGCAGGAATGGAGGGAGATAAAGCAGGTGAATGGGGAGGAATACAAAGTGGGGAAACTAAGGCACGGAGCAGTTAAGTGACTTATCCAGGATCAAAGAGTCAATACATGGCAGAACTGAGACTGGAACTCAGGTGGCCTAGAGCCAAAGCCAGGGTCTCAAAAAACACTGACAAATAGCTGGCATTTATATATCACCGACTGTATACTAAGCACTCAGTATAGTTTATCTCACTCAAAGATCACAACAAATCTCTGAGGTGGGTACCAGTTACTATTCCCATTTTACAGATGAGGAAATATGGGACGTAGAGGGACTGAAGACCTTTCCCAAGATCACAGGGTGTGGCCGGGATTCAAACTGAGGCTACCTGGTGCCAGGATTGTAACTCAGGAGTGGCACCATCCTAGCAGGCAGGGAATGGTGCGAGTGAATGAATAAGCATTGGGAAGGGGGTGGCTGTGAATGATGGTGGAAGAAGCAAGTGAGTGAGTCAGTAGAAAACCAATCCCCACCCCATGCTGCCCTGTGCCTTCCCCACGGACCTATGCCCTAGGTTGGGGTTAGGGTGGGGCAATCCTTGCCCACCAGCTTTTTGACAATGCAGAAATCTTCCCTGGGGTTCTGATGACCATCCTTAATTCGAGGAGGATAGATCCATCATAATAATGGTATTGATGATGGCAACCGCTTATTGAGCACTTTCTGTGTACTATGTGCTGACGTGTTTGTATAAATTATCTCATTCACTCACCATACTCCCTTGCTAATTAAGTTTGATTAACTCAGGTATGTTATCCCAATAACAAGAACACAACCAAAACTACCAGCAGCCCTCACGGAGTGCTTACTGCGTATCCAGCACTGTTCTGGGTGCGGAGGTGGGTGGGATGAGGAATGAGAAATTATCTAATGGGTACGATGTACACTATTTGGGTGATGGTGACACTAAAAGCCCAGACTCCACCACTATGCAATATATCTATGTCACAAAACTGCAGCTGTATCCCCTAAATCTTTTTTTTCTTTTTCTTTTTTTTTCCTTGTTTTCTTTTTTGAGATGGAGTCTCGCTCTTTCTCCCAGGCTGGAGTGCAGTGGTGCAGTCTCAGCTCACTGCAACCTCCGCCTCTGGGGTTCAAGAGATTCTCCTGTCTCAGCCTCCCAAGTAGCTGGCATTACAGGCACATGCCACCACGCCTAATTTTTGTATTTTTAGTAGAGACAGGTTTTATCATATTGGTCAGGCTGGTCTCGAACTCCTGACCTCAGGTGATTCGCCCTCCTTGGCCTCCCAAAGTGCTGGGATTACAGGCGTGAGCCACTGCGCCCAGCCTTCTAAATCTAATAAGAATGCATTTGGCAAGCCACAGTGGCTCATGCCTATAACCCCAGCACTTTGGAAGGCTGAGGCAGGCAGATTGCTTGAGCTCAGGAGCTCGAGACCAGTCTGGGCAACATGGTGAAACCCTGTCTCTATTTTAAAAAGGCCAGGTGTGGTGGCTCATGCCTGTAATCACAGCACTTTGTGAGGCCAGGGTAGGTGGATCACGAGTTCAAGAGATTGAGACCATCCTGGCCAACATGGTGAAACCCCATCTCTACTAAAAATACAAAAATTAGCTGGCCATGGTGGCATGTGCCTGTAATCCCAGCTACTCAGGAGGCTGAGGCAGGAGAATCACTTGAACCCAGGAGGCAGAGGTTGCGGTGAGCCAAGATCATGCCTCTGCACTCCAGCCCAAAGCACTGTTGTAAAGTCTTTTTTTTTTTGAGACGGAGTTTCGCTCTTATTACCCAGGCTGGAGTGCAATGGCGCTATCTCGGCTCACCACAACCTCCGCCTCCTGGGTTCAGGCAATTCTCCTGCCTCAGCCTCCTGAGTAGCTGGGATTACAGGCACGCGCCACCGTGCCCAGCTAATTTTTTTGTATTTTTAGTAGAGACGGAGTTTCACCATGTTGACCAGAATGGTCTCGATCTCTTGACCTCGTGATCCACCCGCCTTGGCCTCCCAAAATGCAGGGATGACAGGCATGAGCCACCGCGCCCGGCCCTTGTAAAGTCTTTTTACAGACATTATCTCATTTAGTCAATCCTGATTGCCTCTTTGTTCATTAATGTTAGTTAAGGAAGAGATGTTAAGCCAATAATAACAACAGTACTCAACACTTCTTGAGGATCGAGACTTACTGTATGCTCGATAGCATGTTGAGCATTTTTCCTGAAATAACTAACTTATTTCTCACAATATTCCTGTTAGATATAGCTCATGTTCTCATTACACAGATGAGGAAACTTAGACACAAAAGGACTGAGTGACCTGCCCAGGAATGAGAATGAAGAAATGGTTCTATGGGGGGGGGCGGGAGATAAAAACAGGGAGGAAGGGAAGTAAACCAAAAAAAAAATCTGTAGGAGGTGATTGTGAAAGTGGGACAGTGAGAGTGAATGAGACCGGGGCTGAGTAACCTGGTGCCTCCGAGGGAGAAGTGAGGGGAGGGAAAGTCCTGCCTGGCTCCTCGCTGACTCTGGTTCTGACGCCAGCTCTTTGACTCTGAAACGTGAGTCAGCACAGAGTTTTGCCGACTGTTTACATTTGGAGTCCTGTGGATCTGGGTTATTGTGCATTTTTGAAATGGAGAGTGGGAGGGGTGTTCATGGAGGGGTGTCATATCAGGTGCTTGGGCCTCATTGTGCCCTTTGTACAGATGGGGAAACTGAGGCACAGAGAGGGGTTGTGACCTGCCTGGGGTCCTTCATGGCCTTAGGAAGAGGAAAGGCCAAGCTTCAGACCTAGGGCTTTCCAGGAGTTCTCAGAGTCAGAGTTCAAAGTGCCCTGCACGCACACACGTACAGGCACACACACATACACATAGTGTTACGTTCAGGCTCAAATCCAGAGAAAACAAGGACAGTTAACGAAAAGAGGCACCTGGAAATTGTCGGGGGAGGTATGAGTGTGTACGCACAGCCCTCTGGTGTGTTGTTTCCATTCCTGAGTCAGGCGTGTGCCTGTGTGTTTTGTGTGTTGCTTCTGGGAGTTGTCTACCTGCCTTGATAAAGCAGGTCTGGTCTGGGTTGCACATGTAACCGTGAGTGCCTTGTGCACTTCTGTGTGCTGTGCCTGGGTGGTACTGTATGCACCCGCCTTGGCATCATTTCCCTGGCCTGCTGCCCGGAGATGCCCCAAACCCCCGCCCCAACATCATGCCTCTCAGCCCACCTCATCATGACGCCAGTCATTTGGGAAATGAGGAAGGAGGGGTGCAGAGAGAGGCCTGAAGGTCAATCGGTCACCCTGAGTCTGCGGGCTTCCTGTGCCTGTCGGGAACTGGGAACCACCACCGCCCCAGCAGCCCCTCCGGGAATGCCATCTCTCTACCTTGTCAGCAAGAGGGAGGGCCACCAGAGGGGCGCTGTGCAGCCGTGCTGTGGGGGTGTGGGGAAGGGGCAGCCTAGGGCCTTTCAACCTGTTTCCTCTACTCCACCTGGGATCGGGGAGCCTGGTTTTCTCTACCCCACCTGGGATTCGGGGAGACTTGAGGTATCCCTCTCACCTGAATGTGTGTTTGTGTGTTCAGATGGGGGTACCCAGGAATGTTTTCTGCAAACTGAGTTGTGGGTGTCTCTGGTTGTGTGTAGCCTCTGTATTGCATATGTGGCAAGGCATGTTGTGTGTGTGTCTAGATATACTTTTTCTGTGCCGAGGTTGTGGCGTGGGTCTGTTACGGGTCTCACTGGTGATGTGAATGCCCAGAAGTGCATACACCTCTATGTGTTGTGTAGGGCCTTGTTTGTTGTGCATTTGCCTAGGGGTGCTGTGTGTGTGCTTGTGTGTTGAGTATGTGCCCGGTTCTGTGGAGTGTACCTCTGGAGTTTGTGTGCTCTTGATTGCATGTGTAATCTTTTGTGTTGTGTGTGTTCCACTGATGGTTATGTGGATTTGGGTGAGGGGAGTGAGCCTGGGTGGGTGTGTGCCCAAAACTATTGATCGTGTGCCTAAGGGTGTCAAGTGTGTACTGCCCAGGAGTGCTGGCTGCTGACCCAAGCTCTGGGCACCTGGATGGCTGAATGACTGTGTGAGTGTCTGTGCTGCTGGGAGCCTGCTGCTTTGAGCCTGTTTTGGCCATCAGTCTCAGTGTGCACTGGCATCTCTGGGTCTGGCAATATACATCTGACTTTATGTGTGCGGGTGAGACTTACGTACAAGGTTTGGCTGAGGGGTCCAGTCGCTACATGCTCACCACCACACCCACATACACACACGCACTGGCACACACTCACCTCACTATCATCCATCCATTGTAAAAACAAACTTTCTTTTTACTGGAAAAGTACCCCACGCTCATCCCCTGCCTCTGCCCGGGAAAGCAGGGGCGGGAAGTCTGGAACTTGGTGGTGGGGTGGAGGGAGGGACAGACAGGGCTCTGGGTTCAATTCTGGGCTTGGAGGCGGAGGCACTGTGTCACCCCCAGCTGCTGCCTGCCTGTCTCTGACCCATGTGTCCTGGGAAGTGGCTCATAATGTGGTTCCCACTGGCTAGGGTCCCCTCAGCACCACCCCACCCCTGGAGGTCGCCCTTTCTGCCCTGATCATGCCTCCTCTGCCTTTCCCCACCAGCTCAGCAGCACGACATACCCTGTGGTTGTGAAGATGGGGCATGCCCACTCTGGGATGGGCAAGGTGAGTCTCTAGCTGGGCTGTGCATAGGTAGATGTATGCAGTGCACACCAGTCATTCTGTGTGATCATGCATCCTGGGGTGTCATTGTCTATCAAGTTGGTGCAAAAGTAATTGTGGTTTTTGCCAGTTCTTTTTTTTGAGACTGAGTCTTGCTCTATTGCTCAGGCTGGAGTGCAGCACTGCAATCTTGGCTCACCGCAACCTCTGCCTCCAAGTTCAAGTGATTCTTCTGCCTCAGCCTCCTGAGTAGCTGGGATTGTAGGCGCCCAGTACCACGCCCGGCTAATTTTTGTATTTTTAGTAGAGACTGGCTTTCATCATATTGGCCAGTCTGGTCTCGAACTCCTGACCTTGTGATGCACCCGCCTCAGCCTCCCAAAGTGCTGGGATTACAGGCACGAGCCACTGCGCCTGACTGGTTTTTGCCAGTTCTTATGGTAAAAACTATAATTACTTTTGCACCAAACAGATTTTTATTTTCTCACATTCAGCTGATCTCATCCACCCATTTTTCCTCCCACATTCAGCCAATTTTGTGTGTCCTGTTATTTTGCTTCTGTCTCCAGCATTGTGTCTGTGTGTACATGCATGCCTGTGCCAAACACACACAAAGTGGTGTGATCGTTCATGTTCCAAAGTCTTGGGGTCCTGTATGCTTTACATCCGATTTTGTCTGTGTGTATGTAGAAAGCAGACTTGTAACTTGTGTCCGAGTTTCTATATCTTTGCGTGTTGTGTGTATAACTGGTTTTGTGTCTGTATGCCTATATTCATATATTGTATATACACAGGTTTTTCACAGCTTTAGTGAGAAAGAATTTACATACCCTAAACTCACCCATTTAAAGTGGACAATTCAATACTTGTTGATATGCTCAGTGTTCTACACACCCAGCTTTGTGTCTGTGTGTACATGTACAAAACAGGAGACCCACAAGTGTGCCTGCTTGAGCGCCTTGGCATGTCCACCTAATTTTTGTGTACTCGCTTCACCTGTGTGTCATGTGTACATGCTCCCCCGGGAACCCCCACTCCCCATAGCTGCCCATTCTGACCAGGCCCCGATCCTTGCCCTCACGCTCACAGGTCAAGGTTGACAACCAGCATGACTTCCAGGACATTGCAAGTGTCGTGGCACTGACCAAGACATATGCCACTGCCGAGCCCTTCATCGATGCCAAATATGATGTGCGTGTCCAGAAGATTGGGCAGAACTACAAGGCCTACATGTGAGTGGAGAGACCGAGGATCTGGGTGGGGTCCCCTGCCTTGCCCCATGCAGCCCAGGCGCCCCTGAGCCTCTGTCCCCTTGTCCCCCAGGAGGACGTCAGTGTCAGGGAACTGGAAGACCAACACTGGCTCTGCAATGCTGGAGCAGATCGCCATGTCTGACAGGTGCGCAGCTGGAACTCAGGGTGTGAGGGGAAGGGTGGGTGGGAGTGCGGCAGCTCAGGTAAGAGACTGACAGGCTTCCCCATCCCTGTCTTGACAGATACAAGCTGTGGGTGGACACGTGCTCAGAGATTTTTGGGGGATTGGACATCTGTGCAGTGGAAGCGCTACATGGCAAGGACGGAAGGGATCACATCATTGAGGTGGGAGCTCCCAGGGGTCAGTGGGGTAGAGGGAGGAACAGGTGTCGGGCAGCAGCAGTGCAGACTGAAGTGCTCCGTGGCGCAGAGGTCCTCAGCCAACAGCAATGCGCTTAGTACACTGTAAGGTGCTGGGCGAGCTTTCGAAGGGGCCATCCCTTGCAATGGCAGAACACCTAGTAGACTCTAGACTGAACTTGCACATCCTTGGTGAATAGCAAAACCCTTATTAGACTGTAAAGTGCTCTGTGAATCGAGACATCCTGGCAAACGGCAAGGCACTTAGTATCCTTTAAAGTATTCTGGGAACAGCAAAGCATTTTGGAAAGGACAAGGCATCTAGAAAACCCTAAAGCAGGGATCGGCAAACATTTTCTGTAAAGGAGCAGACGGTACACATGGGCCATACAGCCTCTGCTGTAACTACTCAACTCTGCAAAAGCAGCCATAGATGATATGTTAAAAAAAGTTAAATGTGGCTGTGTTCCAATAAAACTTTGTTTATGGACATAGAAATGTAAATTTCATGCCACTTTCATATGTTATAAAATATTTTGATTGTTTTCAATTGTTACAAAATTTAAAAACCCATACTTAGCTCATGGGTCATACAGAAACTGCACTCAGTTCGAATTCCTTCTCATAGGCCCTGGGAAAGTCTCCTCCTCCAGGGCCTCCCAGGCACCTTGCTGACCCACCATGGGCACCTCCCTGACCAGGTTGGGCCCACAGGCCCTAATTTGCTGAGCCTTGCTCTGAAGCACCTTCTAAGCTGTAAGGTACCTTGAAACAGACAAGACTTCCTCACTGTGCACAATCAGTGCCTCAGGCACTGGGGCTTGGCAGTGGCCATGTCCTTGGCTCACTGGAAGTGCGGTGTTACTGCTGCCTCAGGCACGTGGCCTGCCTCTCCCCTCATGGATTCTTTCCTCCCCCAGGTGGTGGGCTCCTCCATGCCGCTCATTGGTGACCACCAGGATGAAGACAAGCAGCTCATCGTAGAGCTCGTGGTCAACAAGATGGCTCAGGCCCTGCCCCGGCAGCGACAACGGGATGCCTCCCCTGGCAGGGGCTCCCACAGCCAGGTCAGGCCCCTAGTGCCGAGCTAGTAGCTTGAGCTAGTGTGGGGTCAGCCATGGCTGTGCCATGGAGTGGATGATGTGTAGGCTTACAGCAGCACCTCTGCATACATCTGGCTGCAATTGCCAATTGTTTAAAACATTGACAAGCAGCTGCCCTGACTTCCCTTAGCACCTCCCTACCCCACCCCTGGGAAACAGTCCCCCACCCCACCACCCAGCATACACTCAGCTGCCCACAAATGGGGCAACACCCAGAGCACAGGGAACCTGTGTCATCATTGGCTGATGCTCCACTGGCTGGTAACTATTTTTAACCTCTCCTGCTCCATTCCTCTGCTACAGACTCCGTCCCCAGGGGCCCTGCCCTTGGGCCGCCAGACCTCCCAGCAGCCTGCAGGGCCCCCGGCTCAGCAGCGACCCCCACCACAGGGTAAGCGAGACGCAGGCGGCCTCAGTCCCCTACCGCAGCCCGCCATCTCTCACCCGCTCACTCTCACGTGCTCTCTCTCTGTCCGCCAGGCGGCCCTCCACAGCCGGTTCCAGGCCCCCAGCGCCAGGGACCCCCATTGCAACAGCGCCCGCCCCCGCAGGGCCAGCAGCACCTTTCAGGCCTTGGACCCCCAGCTGGCAGCCCCCTGCCCCAGCGCCTTCCAAGTCCGACCTCAGCGCCCCAGCAGCCCGCGTCCCAGGCCGCGCCGCTGACCCAGGGTCAAGGCCGCCAGTCCCGGCCAGTGGCGGGAGGCCCCGGGGCGCCTCCAGCAGCCCGCCCGCCCGCCTCTCCGTCTCCCCAGCGCCAGGCTGGTCCCCCACAGGCTACCCGTCAGACATCGGTCTCGGGCCCGGCTCCGCCAAAGGCCCCTGGGGCCCCACCGGGCGGGCAGCAGCGCCAGGGCCCGCCCCAGAAACCCCCAGGCCCAGCTGGCCCCACACGCCAGGCCAGCCAGGCGGGTCCTGTGCCCCGCACTGGGCCACCCACCACGCAGCAGCCTCGGCCCAGCGGCCCGGGCCCAGCTGGACGTCCCACCAAGCCACAGCTGGCCCAGAAACCCAGCCAGGACGTGCCGCCACCCGCCACCGCCCCTGCCGGGGGACCTCCACACCCCCAGCTCAAGTAAGGGGACCCCTACAGCAGCTCTTGCCTTGCTGTTCACAAAGCGGGCCCCTACCCCAGTAGAGCAGTCCTAGCTCCCATGCTCCTCAGACCCAGGTCCTATGCAGGGGTCACCAAGAACTCTCTCCAGCCTGGGCCAAGCCCTTTCCCCAAGCTTTCGAGCCTCCGGGCCCACCAGAGGCTCCACCCCCTCACCCCAGGAATTTGGTGCCAGAATCCCAGAGAAACTGCACTCAGTTCAAATTCCTCCTCATAGGCCCTGGGAAAGTCTCCTCCTCCAGGGCCCCCCAGGCACCTTGGTGACCCACCTTCGGCACCTCCCTGCTCAGCCCAGAGTTTTCCCTGCCAAACTGGCCCTTTCCCTCCCAACCCATCCCCAAAACTCCTGGCCTGGGTCCTAGTCCTCCATCATCCCGCTCTTCCCACTCCATTCTCATAGTTTTTCTCTTCCTTCACATCCTTCTGGCCCATCACAGTCTCCCCCAGAATCATCATCCATCTGCCTCTTCCAGTCCATTCCAACCCCCACCCCAGCTCAGATGTCCTCCCTGCCCTACCCAGCCGCTCTGCCTTAGGCTGACTTGCCCAACAGCCTGTCCTTGGTCCAAGCCTTTCCTATGCCCTCCTAGACATCCCACCCTTAGACTGGAAACCTCCCTGGCTCATCTTCCCCTTTGTATCAAACTAGCCAAGAATTCACAGAGAAGGTTCTGCCCAGGACTATTCCCATGAATCCCACACTTCACCCTGGATCCAAGTCCTCCCAGCCTGTCCCAGATCCCATCTTCCTGGCCCAGGACTCCACCCACTCCACCTGAGTCCTCCCAGCCTTGAGAACCTGTTAGGGTCCAGGCCCATGGTGGCGGGTGGGGAGGTCACAGGCACAGCCCCAGGATCAGAGGGGCAGGGCTGGGGCTGGGCCTGGGGTAACATTGTGTTTCTCTCCCCTTCCTCCCCTTCCTCTTCCCCCCTTCCTCCCACGCCTCCACCTTGTCTCTCTCTAGCAAATCCCAGTCTCTGACCAATGCCTTCAACCTTCCAGAGCCAGCCCCGCCCAGGCCCAGCCTTAGCCAGGACGAGGTGAAAGCTGAGACCATCCGCAGCCTGAGGAAGTCTTTCGCCAGCCTCTTCTCCGACTGATACCCCACTGAGAACCCCAAAATCCCTGGGCAACCCTTCTCTGGGCCCTGAATCCATTTCTCACTTTTGGAGTCTCCAAATCCCTTGAGAACCCATCTCCTGGTTCTCCAAGATTCCACCTCTCATTCCTCAAGATCCCCCAGTACTTTGAGAAACCTGACTCCTGGCCCTAAATCCAGTTCTCACATGTGGAATCCCCAAGTCCTTTCAGAAACCCCACTCCTGGTCACTTCAAGATCCGCTTCTGTTTTAGGACCTCCAGATTCCTGAAGACCTCCGCCCCTGGTTTCCCCAGAGGGCATACTCCTTCCTGGAAGTGCCCAAATACCAGGCAATCCATTGCAGAATCCCTTCCTGGAGCCCTGAAGTTCCTGGAAAACCCCATTTTTGGTCCCATATCTCTCCAACACACCTATTTCCCATCACAATTTTCCAAATCCTCAAGAAACCCCTACTGTTGAGCCCCTTCCCATGGATCTTCCATCTCTCTGAAGATCTACATCCTTAAATGCCACCCAACACCTAGCCCCACAAGATTTCCCCTCACCAGCTCCCCTCAAGCCCATTCAATACTTTGGGAGCTCCTCCCACTTCCAGGACCCCTCGGTTCCCCTAGGGACCCCCTCCCCCGTTTCCTGCCTCTGACAGCTGTCTTTAAATATGCAAATTCCACCCATCTTCCCAGAATCCTTTGCACACGGAAGTGGTCTCCCGCTTCCCCACTTTTGCCGTGATGTCTGTGTCTGTGACTGACGTGGCCTCCTCTTGTGCCGTGCTTGGCATATGTGGTCCTCGTACATCGTGCCGCCTGTGGTGATGCGTGCAGTGACGCTGTTTATGTGGTCCGCACCTCCGCCTGACCTCCACTCCTTGCCTGGATTCACCCCACCCCTCAGCGGCTCTGAACCCCAAGAGAAGAGTCGGGAAACAAAATAAACAAGCAAAGGCCCAGCAGAATTCTGTGCTTCTTGGTGAAGAGGGGAGTCCTTGAATAGTGGGGGAGACACAAAGGGGACCCCCCAAAATCCACATGGGGTGCTGGGAACCCCAAAATCCAGTGGAAGGCACATCAGGCATAAATTCCAGAGAGGTTCTGAATGGAATCCCTGCCACAAATCCCAGCCTTTGGAGATGGAAGAGCTCCCAAAATTTAAAAGTATCCCCAAAGCCAAGAGGAAACCAAATGATGGAGGAGGCAGGGGGCTCAGATTTTGGGGGGGTCCCCTAATTCCAGAAGAACCGGAAAGGCACATGGGGACTCCCTCATCTCCCAGGGTAGGGGATGGGGGATCCTGAGGCAGCATGAGGGCAGAGACGAACATTAAGTGGCTGGTGGGCAAGGCTCCTTGGCGTGGCGGGCTGAGACTGGCTCCCCGGTGGCTTGGGCGGGGCCTAAGGCACAAGGCGGGCTGCGCTGAGTAGGCAGGCAGGCAACTCATCAGCCTGGGTGCGGTGCAAGGAGGGTTCCGAGGCACTCCGCTCAATCTTGGGGAGTGACCGTTGCAGCAGCTCAATTGTGGCCAAAATCTGAGGGCAGGTGGGGGTGAGCAGGGGTGTCCAGGGCCCTATGGGCATCCCAACAGCCCCAGACCCCAGTCTCATGGGGAAACACACACACACACACACACACACACACACACACTCTCTCTCTCTCTCTCTCTCTCTCTCTCTCTCTCTCTCTCTCTCTCTCTCTCTCTCTCTCTACCTCTGAGCTTTCAACACAGTTCATATTCACATCTGCCTCCATCTCAGTCTTCCTCCATCCCAGAATCCCCCACCTAAGATGTCTAGCCCTCCTACCCAGCCCACCTGGGGGAAGAGGGGCCGCTCCTCCCGCTGGAACTTGAGGCAGTCAGACAGCAGGCGCCGCATGGCCTTGGGGCAGTTGCTGGAGATTTTGCTGAGGTCCGGGGACAGATAGCCACGGCCCACCATAAAGATAATCTGTGGGTAGAGGAGAACAGGAAAAGGGTGATCTGGGGTCAGGGGCTGGAAGGCCCAAGGAACTCTATTGAGGGACTTGGGAGGTTCATTTTTGGCAAACTGGGGTACTGTCAGTATTGGGGTCCAGAGGACTCTCTGCTTGTAGAACAGGAATTTAAATTTGAGGTTGTCAAGGATTGTAGGTATCTGGGGCCCAGAGGATTATGGGTCCACAGGTTTCTAGGGGCCTTAGGGACCTGAAAAGTACTGAGTCTCAGGGAAACATGGAGTTCTGGGTCTGGGGAGTATGTACTTCTGTGGGGGTCCGGGGCCTAGAGGATTCCAGGTATCCCGGCCCTGGGGCCTGCTAGATATTCAAGGCCTGGGTGAATGTGGGTACCTGTGACTACTCCAGAAGCACAAAGGGGTTGTTTCTGGGGAGAAATGGGATCTTGGGAGAAATTAGATCTGGGCTTTGAGGACCTAGGGCATTCTGAGTACCCAGAGCAGAGGACTAGAGGCATCTAGGGGCACAGAGGGCTTTGGGGTATTTCAGGACCTCGGGATTCTAGGTATAGAGATCTGGGGCATTCTGGACTTCAAGGATTTTTGTCCCAGAGGACTGTCGATGTGAGAAGAGGGAAGTTGGAGTAGGGGAGACCCAGAGAATTGATTATAGGTGTCTGGAGCCCAAGGGATTCTGGGAGTCCTTATCCAATAAAATTTTAGGTTTCTGGGGAAAGTGTGGCATTTATCTGTGCAAAGGAGGGGATGTGAGGTATGGATGCCTGAGGGGATCCCTCAGATCAGGGAACTATGGGTAAGGTGTGGGGCTTACCTGGTCACGGCAGCCAATGTGGCTGTAAGGCAGTGAGCCAGTCATGAGCTCGTAGAGCACAACCCCATAGGCATAGACATCTGACTGGAAGCTGTAGGGGTTCGGGTCCTGCATACGGATCACCTCAGCTGCCTACAACACCAGACCAGGTCAGCAAATGGCTAGCCCTCAGTCCCAGATCCCACTGGCCACACAGGGTACAATCCAGAGCCACTCACACCAGGTAGGACATGAGGAGTCCGGACCTCCACACCTGGCACAGGCATCCCCATTCCTACTCGGCCCCACACACCCCAATCCAGGAGCCCACATCCCCACGTGGCCCCCATCAAGTCTGGCCCAACTCACCATCCACAGCACAGAGCCTGAGGGCTGCTCCAAGGGCTGGGCCCCGCTCCATCGAGTCTTCACCGTGGCCAAGCCAAAGTCACCAATCTTCACTGTGAGCCCCTCGTGTAGGAAGATGTCCGCCAGAGTCAAGGGCCACTACAGGGCCTCCTAATAGCCATGCCTCTCACCCTGCCTGTGAGGTTCCCATTGGTGCCCCCATACCACTCATCCCTCTGATCCTGACCAGGAGCCCCCTAATATCACACAAACTACCCACAACCTTGACGTGGGCAGGGAATGCCTACTAATGCCCCCCATACTCAGTGCTGCTGTGACTCCTGACCAGGAAGCCCCTCGAAAGGCACCTGAACCCACCATGCCTCTGATGCTGACCATAATGCCCTCCACAACTGTCACACAACAGACCTCCACCAGAGTCCCCAAGAACAGCACCTGAACCAGCCACACCTCTGACTTCTGACCAAGAGACTGCCGTTAAAGCCCCCTCGTCAGCCACAGGTCTGCTACCTGGCAAGGAGCTATGGGACACATACACATGGCCCTCCCTTATAATCCCCAGAACCCCCACAAGAGGCACCCTCTAAGCCCTTGACGCTCCCAACCCCAGCCCAGGGGCAGATAGATACTGTTAGACTTGAGATCTCGGTGGATGATGTTCTTGGCATGGAGGTAGCTGTGGGGGTGAAGGCAGGTGGTGGATTGGCTGGGGGTTACCTCATCTCCCCTACCCTTTCCCCCCACCCCTCCCCAGGCTGGGAGGCTCACTCCATGCCCTGGGCAGTCTGCCGGGCCACATCGATGAGCTGGACCATGTCGAAGCGTGTGTCGGCCACATGCAGGTGGTGGTAGAGGCTGGAGCCCTCACACCACTGTGTGATGATGGCAAATCCCGGCCGGGTCATGAAGCCCATAAACAGCAAGATGTTGACATGTCGCGTCTTCCTGCAGGCAGGGAGGGCAGTGTCAGAGGCGGGGAGGAAACATAGCGACTGTCACTTACTGAGCATCAGGAGTGGCACTGTTCTTCACCTTCTTCGGTCATTCATTTTCACCCTGTCTTTTGGGGCACTCAGGACCAGAGCATTGCCAGATTCCATGAATTTGTGAGATGTATTTACTGGGCTATGATTCTCTGCTGTGGGCTTATATGCAGAGCCTCCCCATCTGAGCCTCCCAACAAAAGCAAGAGGAATTGCTGCCCCCTCATGCCTACAGTAGCATTTCTAATCAAGAACATCCCCCACCCCTCTAACTCTGACCATTACCTGGGTCTGTAACCATCTCACAGATGAGAAGGTAGAATGCCAACCTTCGTCACTGATGTAACAACATAATATGGATAAATGTAGGGTAAAAACATTGGTGATGTGTGATTAGAGCCTGTTCAGCAGCATGAGAAGCTTAGAGGTGAAGAACTTGGAGTCTGGACTCACGTTCAAATCTAGGCTTCACCAGTTACTCACTGTGCAACCTTGAGGAAGTCATTTAACCTCTCTGGGTCTCAGGCTCCTCAACTGTAAAACTGATCATTATATTAGCTACCTTATTCTCTGTAACATAATTGTGCTCATTTGACAGAGAGGAAAAGCCCATGCTGACATCCCCAGAACTGGTAGAAGCTATCCAGTACTACCTGTAGTATATAGGTATACAGGCCCCCAGCCATAAATATGCATTTAGCTCACACAGAGCGAATGTCCACTGGCAGTACTATTATAGTTACTATGTGCTACATAGTAACTATAGCAGCAAAAAAGGGACACCTGGCTTTCTTAGCATGGCTGGATGAATACTGTATTGATTACATACTAATAGTAATTATAATAATAAAGCAATAATTAGATTCTTGTGATGATAATAATATTGTTTAAATCAAGGCATTAGAATTAGTGAATAATGAGAACCAACACTATAAACAGAACATTACTGATGTAGTTCAAGCAGAGGGGAAGGAAAGATGCAAGCCTTCCTGGTAATGGGGTTACTGCAATGATGGCCCACACCCAAACCCAGTTCACAGCAGGCAACTGAGAAGACCCACACTTTGGAGGCAGAGCCATTAATTAATAACCCAAACACAAAACAACTGCACAATCAGAGGTCCTGTAAACATACCCATTTCCCAGAGGGGAGAGGGACATCCTTCAGAGAGAAACAACTTCTGATGATGGTTTAACAACACAAATGCAGGTGATATCCAGGAAGCACTCCAAGCATGGCCTTTTCCCGGGAAGGGCCAAGGCCAGGGCTGCCACCCCAATCCATGCACACGTTCAACCTCACCTGAGCACCTGCATCTCGTTCTTGAAGGCTTGGGCCTGCTCAGCTGTGGGCTGGGACACCTTGAGCACCTTCACAGCCACATCGCCATGCCACCGCCCTCGAAACACGGTGCCAAACGAGCCTGTCCCAATCCTCTTCAGCAGCTGCACCTCACTGGGTGGTACCTCCCAGTAATAGCCTGAGTCCCGGTACCCCAGGTTCTTCTGTGGGCCAGATGGGTGGCATCTAAGAGGCCTGCCCACATCCTTCATCCCACATAACTCAGCCTTGGTCCCCCCAAAAGGTCCCCCCTTGATCATACCACTTTTTTCTTGTCATCAGCCAAGGACTTCCGCTCACGCTGCTCTGCTGGTGACTTGGAATGTGGGGACTTCCTCCCCGAGGACACGCTGACTGGGCTGGGGCTCCCCCGGGGGGCTCCATCTCCACCTCCTCTACTACTGGCAGCTGCAGTTACAGAGAGGATGTGAGTGGAGGCAAGTGGGGTGGCGAGGGCCAGAGTGCAGGCACGGGGGACTCACCATCAGTGCTGAAACTCTGGCCAGTGAGCTAGAAGAAGAGG